CAAACGAACCGAATCTCGATGGGGTTGAGTCGTTTCATTACAGAGAAGTCATAGGAACGTCACAGAATAGATCTCATAGATCGCCGTAAAGTACTTCTGCGATTTGTCTGGTGAGTACCTCACTCAAGAGATGCATTTTGCTCCGGCTCTGGCTAGGTAAACACTTTATTATAAGGAGAAAACGCATCTGCAACCCTATGCATATGTCCATGGACGGGTGAAGATGGAGCTCTATCATCAGATCGTGGTTACCAATGAAAGACATTAATACGATTAATACGATTACTACTCATTAATACGATTCAAATGTACCCAAACGCGATGAGGCTCTGTCGTTTCATTTCGAAGTTCCTTTGGCCTTCTTCCAGCTCCATCATTAGATCAGCACCATGTCACAAAAATATTGGAATGTCGCGATTTACACATGTATACAAAATCGTAGCTCAACCAGTAACCGGGAAGTAGATCAAATTTAATTTGCAAGATTTGATTTGATGATTTAACATTACAATTTTTTTTTTGATAAACTTTGCCCTCACTTTAGAATAACATTATCCTGTATTGTAAGGACGTTTTACAAACATAAATTGCACGAGGACAAACATCCAGATGCGAAAAACTATCTGTGGACAGCACACCTAGTTGTCCCGTGTGGGAATCGAACCCACGACCCCCGACGCCGAAGCCAAAATCTTGGCCAACTGCGCCACGGAGTCATCAAAATATTGTAAAAATGTTCATAAAATTAAACTACTTGGCAAAACTATGGTAAATTTTTATGGGACCAAATGGCAACTATTCTGCATCTTAAAAATATTATATTATTTTAATTAAATATTGAAGGGACTTACATAAAATCTATATATGTGTGCAAAAAATATATAAAAACATTATGCTATACAATTTTAATTAGTGGTCCACCTAGGTCCTGGATCCGCTCTTGGACCACGGGTTTGAAGTTCTGATTTCTTATGGCGAGCACTTCTACAATTCCATTGAATTATAGTCGCCATTTTTAGAAATTAAGTATCGAGAAATTGTTGTAGAATAATAAGGACATTGTTCGGTAGGGAGTCTGAGAACTTTGAAATCATATTTATAAGGGAGCAGATGAGAAGTTCAATTAGATTATCATTGGGGGTAAGCAAAGGGGTAGACTCTGAAGATGATAGAGCACAACCATTAGGTTGAGTAGATGGGGGAGAACTAATTATATTTCTATGAGATAGAACGTCATAGGATTTACCGAGAGGAGCTTTGGGACGAGGAGATTTGAAAATAGTTTTGGAATAAGATGCCTGAATATTAGATGGAATAGTTGAAGAAGAGGAAAGGGGGATAGGATGGGATTGTGAAATATTGGTAGGATGTAAAATGGAAGGAGGGGTGGAATTGACCACATCCGTGTAGGATCTTTTTGCAAGGAAATCGAAGAGCTGCTTCAGAATAGCTAATATTTTCCTGAGACATGATCATTTTAATAGACTTTTGCCTGGCATGTTCTGGGCATTTATCATCAGTAGCTCTATGATTATCACTACACAAAACACAAACTTCATTATTAGGATCATGACAGCTATCCCCATTATGTCCCTGTCCGCAACGGTAACACCTGGGCTGAGATCGGCACTGTGATAAAATGTGGCCAAATCTACAACAATTCCTACATTGAATTGTTGGCAGTTGATAAGTGGAGACTGGAAGAGCAGAGTGGAAACAAAATACTCTCTCTGGAAGAGATTGGCCCGAAAAGGTGAGAACTACGGTAGTTGAAGGGACCCATGTGACTTTATCATCTACTCGGATTTTAGTATTAAAAGGACGAGCTCTAATAACTTCCCCACAATTGGAGGGAGTTTTAATATTCTCAATTAACGAAAGAGTACTTTTATATTATTATCTGAAATGTATGACAATTGACTTGACACATGACACTACACTATAGATATTTTTAGCTTATTATATTTTTATATTCTTGATATACTGACATGACATTGCCAGAATTCTTTTAAGAGAGGCCATTAATCAAAGAAGAAGAAGAAGTATTCTTGATATTTTTAGCTTAGAGCTTAGAGATGCCAAAAAGTATCGATATATGTGTGGCGGATGCAATGTTGTATTTTGTATAATAAGTAAGGTATTTATACCAAAATGGTTCATATATACTTTTTATACATTAAACCATCCATATCTAAGGTACAAGATGTATAGAGGTGTTAGAAATCATTAATATTGAATTACATATTAAGCTAATCTTAAATAGCATCAAAAATATTAATGTCATCAACTAAAGTTACTTTATTTTAATATATTAGATAAACTAAATGAACATAATGTCACATAATATAATATTAAGTATTCATTATAAAAAATTATTTGACGTCATATAAATTATTATAATTTAGTTTTATTTACGGTGGTAGGGCCACGCAACAGCCTCGCCTTTTGCACGAATGGGCAGGCTCGTCCGGGTACGTACCATGACCTCACAGAAGACCGGCGTAAAGTGGAAGTATAATTATTTCGCGTTTCGTCTGGTGTGTGAGGTGGCTGGAGCCCAATTTTCAAAAGGTTGTCAACGCATCTACAACCCTCAGGTGTATTCACTTAACAATAAGTGAACCTTGGCAACTTTTCACATAAAAAAACAAAGAAATATCTATATTTTCCTTTCAATATAGCGAGGCCGATACTAATATTTTTATAAAAATCGATATATTTCTTGACTTTCGGCGTCGCTACACTAGCTCAATGTTGCCAACTACTAAAAAGAAATGGCCCTAAAATCAAGATGAAATAGCCGCAAATAACCCTAAATGCAATTTTCAAAAGCCCCAAAAAAATAGCTGTGTATTTAATTCAAAGATATTTTTTAAACAAGTTTTACGTTTTGTTAAAATAAATATAATATAACTTAGTTGTAATTACTTTTAATTACAAAAAGTTTAAATAATTGACAAAACAACACAATATTAACAAACATTTCGTTAATTACATTTATTAATAGACATTTTGCTTTTATTTTACTCACTTTGGTCAGTGAAAATGGCCCTATAAATGGCCCCAAATTTCTTACGACCCTAAAAAAAGCCCAACATGCATGTTTCCGCCTCGCATTTGGGGCTAAAAGTCTTAAGTTGCCAAGACTTCACGAAGGCAAAAAATTACGATTTTATATAAAAGTATCGTTGTTATTCGATACAGTTATCGATTTATATCAATTCAAAGAGTTTATCCATCCTTTTGGCAACGCAAATGGCAATTGAAAAACGATTTTACAACTGATTAGTTAACATCTACGATGATCAGTGTTTTAGAAACCGGGCGTATATCTTGAAAATTCATTCTTATTTTTATGGACATAAATAACATTTGCAAGTATTTACTGAGAAGCAATAGTTAATACTTTTCGTTTTTATTACTTGTTTTAATTATATTGACGATTTGGGAAAATTACAGTTATTTTTTGTAATTTTTGCTATAAATGTAACCTGCGCATGTATAGAATATTAAGAAAAACATTTGTTTTATATAAGAATATCGAAAAATATGTGAAGCATTAATGTTCTATATGAACATCTTCGGCAGTTCAAACAAAGCTTGCGCCAGTACTAGCATAGCAGCTACTTACGTGATGACATTGACGACAGAAATCTTAAATAACTTTTCGTATTATTATGTAACGCCACCGACTGAGGTGGTAAAATTTTTAGACTTTTAATAAGTAAATGTAATACTTCTATATTTATTAAAGATATTTGACTTTGACGCTTTATAAGCTTTAGAGTAGGTAGAAATAAACAAGTTGATTTAAATCGTTTTTTATATACTATATTATAGCGATATTTTGGTGTTAGTGCTATTTAACGTTATAGAGGCTGAACTAATGCTAATATAATAATGTTAGTATAAGTTAAGCTACTTATGCTGGAAAAAATGACATCAGGCCTGCGTTGTTGACAACACTGCACCGATGTCAAGTCAAAGATAAAATGTCAATGTCAAACTTGATAAGAAGTTTCACGCTGATTTTTTTTGTGATATCATTGTGTACTAATTGTATAATTTATGACTTATATTGACAAGATAAGCAAAACTGTGAACGCTATAAGTGTTTTGTGACATGTGATGTGTTAATGTTTAGTATTATGTAAATATTCTTTCACTTTTCTGGCACCATTTAAATTTTACCTCCAGGTAAGAATACATTTATTTAAATAATTACGTCAAAGCACTAGAGCGTTCCTCTATTATAAAATGAATTGAAAAGTCTAGAATGTCTGGATGCTGGTGTTAGTAATTCATAAGTATTTAGATTTTGAAAATAATTTGTATTGTAATTATAGTTTCACCCATAACAATGCTACAATTTATGTTTAAATAACATAGATTAAGTAGTTAATGTTTCCTTATAAATTAAAAGGAAACATTAACTACTTTAGAATTGTAGCCAAAAAAACTAAATGAACAATCCACTAAGAATTATTAGCAGGATGGAGAATTAAGTTTATTAACTGAATGAATTAATGATTTCATTTCCATTATTTAAAGAAAAACTTATGTTAGGCCTCTGTCTTCTATATCTTAATTGAATATTTTGGTTTGTTCTAAAATTTGTTCTAAAATTGTGATATTTAAATTAGGTATATGTACTTTAAATGCTATTAGGTAAATACTGTATTTTATTCTATGGTCCTTTTCAACTATTACATCACATTAAGTGACATTGACTAACACATTACACATTTACTTAGATGTTCTTTAAAAGAAAATTCCTTAAAAAATAGTAATTTTCCAGCAATAAAAAAAGCTTAAATAAATTAATATTTGACTAAACAAGTCCTATAAAAACATGGGTTTAGTGGACTTATATACATGCTGCTTCAAAACCAAAAGCCTTGAAAGGCTTTCTTTTACTTTTTAAAACACAAAATATGAATGTTATAAAGTAACTCATGCGCCAGCTGTTTTTGTGTATTCCTCTTACAAGCATAGTAGGTATGACCGCTAGTTGTTTTGACGTCGGCGCCGGCGGCCGACACCCACGTGCGTTCAAATCGCGCCGCAGTCTGTGCGCGGCGTTGCTCGCGAACCGTTCGTCCGCGCCGCGGCGTCTTTCGTTATGCTATCGAGTCGCGGCTCGAAGGACAATCGATTGTTCGCATAAACCACCGTTGAGTGCTAATAGTTCGGTAACAATGAAGAGGGACGATACACAGTTTGCCATGACGAGAAGCGGGTCGAGGCCGTCGCGGCTGCTGACGGACAGCGTGTCGTCCAGTGACGAGCCGGAAACTGAGCGCCTGTTACATTCGCATCCGCCACCATCAATGGTGGTCGGTTGCCGTCGGGGATCCTTGACGGCACCCCCGTCGCCGAACGACTTCCGCAAGAAACGCGAACGGCACCACAACTACATGAACCATTTGCATCATCTGATACACTGGAGGGACAGATGGAGTGGCGAGCCCAATAAGGCGCAAGAGGTAGAAATCGCATCGTTTTTGCCTCCTATACACCTGTGTTAATTTATAAACTCTATGTTGTTGAGCATGCGCTGAGTTTGTTGTCTTGTTCTCTCGCGGCGTTGTGGAGCCTTTGTTCCACGATCGAGTACATCATACTTTCACTTTCGTTCGAGCATAATATCTTAAAACACTTTGATTTTAAAATGAAAGGACTGTACTGACGATGCAATACGATAATATATGATAATCGGTCGTCTTTGATTTCTTTCTTGATTTTTTTGTTTAGTACCTAACCGCGGGTTTGTTTAAACCGTGTGAAATTTCATAACTCAGGTGTTCGTGTTGCGGCATTTGTTGCTTTAATAATAAAATTCTACGTGTATTTATGATTATAGCCTTATGTCATGACTGGGTTAAATAAGTTGTGTTTTCATTCAACTGATAGTAAAAATTCGAAACTCCGCGACTGTGGGCAATAATGAATAATTAATTTTTATTTATTTATTTATTTAATCTTTATTGCCAACCTTCAGTAAAACAAGGTAACAAAGGGCGGACTTAATGCCCAAAGGCATTCTCTACCAGTCAACCCAGGATGTGGTGAGAGTTTATGGTAGGTGCAGCAAAAGATGCAAGAATAATAAAATTTTAATTAAAGAGAATATATATGAAAATAATATTATAATTGGATACAAATCATATATTAAGTTATATACATGCATATATGTATATATATATATATATATATATATATATTCAAATATTTAAATATATATAAAGATGTATACGTGTATAAATAAATAACAATTAGCTTCTACTTTTAACTACAGTCCATATCTTAGGTCGAATTTGTCTTTAACAGGTGTTCACGAACCAGTATTTTGAAAGATGTCTTACTTTTTTCGTTTCTTACGTTATCGGGCAAGGAGTTGAAAGATGTATAGCTTGGATAGTAAAGGAGTTAACAGAGGAACCGGTAAAGTACGCTAATAAATTATGCATTATTTATTCGTGTAAGACGACCGAAGTACCCTATCATGAGATGAGGAGAGATACAAGAATTTGTTTTTGAGGTAAGAAGGGGAGGAACAATCATTTAAAATGGAGAAAAGCACAAGCAAAATTCTGGACTGCCGCCTATGCCGAATAGTAAGCCAATTAAGTTGAGATCGATAGGAGGATATGTGGTCATACTTGCGTAAGCCGAAAATGAACCTGATATAGTTATTAAGGAGGCGATCCAACTTGTTTAGTAGATGTGGGGATACGTCCGGGTAACACACGTCTGCATAATCGATAATGGGTAAAATGAGCGTTTGGACAAGCAAAAGTTTTATAGGAACATTAAAAATTTCATTTGAAAATTCTTTGCGTTTAAAATTTATTTTATTATCATATATGATGTATACTAACAGTGTAGTTGTATGAACCGTAGTTGACCGTAGAAATACCGCTACTGATTAGCGTAAGCAAGTGTTAAAGTAACGCTTTTATGTTTGGACCAGTGAGAGGTAAACGGATTCTCACCATCTGAAGGCTAACTTATAACACACCTGCAACCACGCCGGTGGCGCTCATTTGGAATCATCGGGTTGGAAGTAATAACTAAGCTTCAGGTGAATAGTTTCTCATTCGCCATTTATTCGAAACGAATGAAAGAATTGACTCTCCATTTTCTTAGTTTCAACTGACCTCAAAACTCCGGGCCTTTCTTCAAAAAACTCCGTAATACATGAACTGATTTTTTAATTACCTATTTCTTTTTGCATTAGGTTCAGTCGCTCCCATGTCCCATATCAATTTCATTGGTATCGAACCTTGGACTCCGGAGTTACATACGGGAGCTTCTCGAAATCAAACGTAAAAAAAATTGTGTGAGAGGTTAGAAGTTGATTGGAAAAAAATAAAAAATAAAGTCGAAGATTTTAAAGTTGCCATATCCAGTATACCTTTACGATTTAAGTTCTGCCGCACTTAAATCGTAAAGGTATACTGGATATGGCAACCAGACGAGAATTACACTTAGCGTGTACGGTACAAAAAGTCATATGGAATAAAAACCCCGAATATTTATTCGAAAAACTAACTTGGGTAAAAGATATACATTTGCGAATTACACGTGCAGCGGCCATGAATTTACTTGTAATCCCTTCTCACCGAACAACTGGTTTTAAAGGCTGTTTCAAGTATCAAGCTTCTAAAATTTGGAACAATCTACCTCCACCAATGCGAAAAAAAATCAGCTTACAAACTTTTAAGCGCAACTACAAGGAGTCTTTAATAAAGCAACAGAAGCTTACAGAAAACTTGAAACCAGCTTTTAAAAAAAATTACTACATCCCAAATTAACACACTATATCACGCGCAAACTGACACACGAATACTTCCACAAACAAACACTCACATACACACACCCTCGCACAGAAGCGTCACACTCACGCACTCTCTTATACGTAACAATAAAATATGTAGAATAAATATAATAAAAAAAATGTAAATATATAAGATATGTAATAATTATAAGAATATTTGCCTTATTTATTTCTTCGAAGTTCGTACCGACCAATAGAAACTTTAATCGCGGCTCTATAACAACAACAGGGCCAGGGGAAACTGAAAATCAGCGCTACACAGTCAGCCTTATGCCGTCAGTTGTAGCATAAGCTGAGTTTCCACCTTTTGCCAAGGAGCTTTTCTTTTTTTTTTTAAATCCCTATGTAATTTTAATATTTTTGTAAAATTTTTTGTCTTTATATAACATTGTTAATGTTATTTTTAAATTCTCTTTTTTTTTTTTTGTTTAGCATTTAAATTTATTGTACAATCTATTTTTTCTTGGCAATAAACGATTATTATTATTATTATTGGGGGATATTCATTTGTTTTCTCGTCTGGTTGGGTTTATAAATAAAAATAAAAATAAAGATATAGATATATATTGCATATATAAAATAAATATTATGGATAAAAATAAACATATATATATATAAATATATATATATATAAATAAATATTTTATATAATACATATATAAATAGGACCCAAACAGACGGAAGCCCTCGGCAGGGGAGACCAAACGGCCGAGGGTTACTAGGTTGGCTACTAGGTTGTGTCTATGCAGATACTCAGAGTTAGAAAGCATAGAACAACCGGAGATAACATGCCGAAGCGACTCCCCGGGATGGCGACAAGCTCGACAGATGTCGACGGTGCCATCCTTTAGGATGTATCTCCTATAGTTGTTCGTCTTAATAACCTGATCCTGTATCGCACAGACAAAACCTTCGGTTTCCCCAAAGAGGTCACCGAAACGTAGCCAGTTCAGGGAGGCAACAGTATCTACGAAAGGCTCGTGTAGAGCCTTGTAGAACCTCCCGTGGAGCTCTTTCTCCTTCCATACAGCCTCTCGGTCGGAAACGCTCAGTACTCCCGGGTCCTGCCATTGCTCGTTGGCTAAGGATAGAGGGGTAAGTCCTTTATCACAACTAATGACGTCCGTGTAGATTGACTCATCCGATCTCGCCAGAAAGTAGTTACGGAGGCTGCACACCTCGCGATTGTGCATGGTGAGGGCGCTTAAAAAGCCCCTCCCGCCATGCTTCCGCGGAAGGTACAGCCTCATCACTGACGATCTCGGATGATGCATTCTGTGGGACGTCATAGTTGTGCGGACTTTTCGGTCCAGGGCGTTGAGCTCAGTTTGAGTCCACCTGAGTATGCCAAAGGTATACATGAGGACTGGCATGACCCAGCCGTTAAAAGCACGTGCCTTATTCCCGCCTGACAAATGGCTATTAAAAACCTTTGTCAGGCGTGCAAAAAACACGTCACGAACTGACTGTTTCATGCCAGCCTCATCGATACACATATTTTGTGACATACCCAGGTATCGGTATGTTTCAGCCTCAGAGAGGGTCCTTATGTTAACGGGCATAGATAAGTCTATGCCCTCCGTATTAGTGACCTTACCCCTTTCGACATGAAGGACCGCACACTTATCCGTCCCGAGCTCCATTTTGATAGAATTGCTGAAATCACAAGTGACTTTAAGCAATTCCATCAAATGGGAGCGATTGGAGGCGAATAACTTGAGGTCATCCATGTAGAAAAGGTGGGTCACTTTTGTCCCTCCTCTCCGAAGCTGAAATCCTCCCCCCGAGCCCTCCAGTAATGCGCTGAGAGGATTCAGGGAGAGGCAAAACCATATTGGACTCAAACAGTCGCCCTGGAAAATACCCCGTCGTATCCTTATCCGGTATTCCGCAGCCGTCATCCGCTCGCCTAGATGACAAAGGATCGTACTCCATTGCCCCATACAGTACCCGAGGAAGTCTCTTACTGTACAGTCTACTTTGTACAGTTCGAGGACCCTCTTTAGCCATGTATGGGGCACCGAGTCGAACGCCTTTCTGTAGTCTATCCAGGCGGCGGAGAAGTTCCGACGGTTGCGTTTAACCATTTTGCCAATGACCGCGTCGATGAGAAGTGGTTCCTTGGTTCCACGACCACCGCCCCGACATCCATTCTGAGCACGAGACATAATCCGATTCATATTAATATGCCGGGTGATTCTCATGCTCAGAATAGATGTCAGTGTCTTATAGATTGTAGGTAGACACGTTATGGGGGCGGTACTTACTCGGGTCTGTGGTAACCTGATCTTTAGGAACCAAATGAGTGACCCCAGTAGTAAAGAGGCTCGGGAGCGACCTCTGATCGAGAGCCTCTTGGAACTGTCGGGCGAGCACAGCATGACACACCACGAACCCCTTCAGCCAGTAGTGATGCAGCCCGTCGAGTCCCGGACTTTTCCAGTTCGGGGCTCTACGGACTGCCTCAGATACGTCGTCGGGTGTTATGACGACGGGGTTCATGGGTGTAATGTCTGCACATTGGCTCGCCACGACTTGTGTCCAAGGGCCCTCGCTGTGGTCTACGGGCTCTGACCACAGGCTGCGCCAGAAGGCGACAGTGTCTGCCTGGTCCGGTCCTTGGCCCGTTCCACAGCTCATTGGTCGCTCCAACGATTTGTAGAGCCTCTTTTGGTCACTCTGGAA